ACGGCAGATTTGAGCTCAGAAATTATCTAATTTATTTCTTTTATTGAAAACAAAATTATCCGTTTGAAAACATCGCCTATCAGAATAACATGTAGTAAGCAGCTGCAAACTTTTTAACCGGAACTAGAGTAGGTCCCGAGCTCGAGATTGTTATTGTTTACATTTCTATTGAAAACACCATCCATAAAACTTCCTAGAGCCTGTTCACACTCTTAAACATAACATAAGCGAAGGGATACACCGGACGTTTTCTAAATTTCTTTAGGAAACTTGCTATTGTTTACATTCAGTCAACCTACCATAGCCTTCTTGGGAAAACATGTAGCGCCATCTCTTAGCAAACGATTGTTTTATTTTTGAAGCGACTTTTTATACCGTTGCCTTACTGAGTGTTACAAACAAACAAAGTTCGCTTGAAAAAAGTTCACGGCTCATCACAAAAAAGCAAAATAATGCGAACAAAACACAAACGAAGGTATAAAAATCGACATTTAGTCTGTCTACGGTAAGAACTTCCCCCGCCACAAAGTCTGATGCCGTTGGCTGCTATGGAAACAAGATGGAAATTTCACTCTAGGGCTAACACAATAGACCAAAGAAAAAGCTGTCCTAAACAATGATCCCGCCCCTCTACTTGAAATAGTTATACCTCGTTACCATAGTTACCGCCACGGGTCCAGACGAATAGCTATGGATGTTCTTGTCCCTGCTTTAGACAAACTATAGTACAGTTTCGTTTTTATGAACCTTCCTCAGTATTTAAATGTCTAAGCACTCACTGAAACTAAAGCATGCTATTATCTTTTGCAGGTGATGCTTGCCGGATTGAGCATTGCATGGGGTGGATATTGTTTCGGAGCAGTGGTGGCCTGGCTTTTCAAACTGGATAAGGCACAAATCATCGCAGTGTCTATTGAGACAGCTTTCCAAAATCCCGCCGTCGCTTTCGTCATGCTGGTGCTTTCCCTGCCCCAACCAGAAGCTGATCTTTCATCCGTGCCAGTCATTGCTCAACTCATGCTCACCGGACTGCCCATGTGGGCACTACTGGTAGCCACTAGAATCTATAGAAAGTTTTGTAAAAGAACGGAAAAAACTGATAAAAAGGTTTATACGGTAGTGGAGATGAATGGTGCCGAAGATCAATGCAACATGTAGTTTGTCTAAGGTAAGAACTCCGAGGCCGTCTGGTGCTATGGAAACAAGAACGGCACATTTTAGGGAGGGTAGCTTCACTCTAGGGCTAACACAATCTCGCCGACCCCACACCCCTACTTGTTACCATAGTCACCTCCACAGGTCCAGACGAATGTCTGAAGAAGCTCTTATCTTAGACAAACTATAGCCGATCATTCAGTTACAGAATAAAATTTTTGAGTTCTCAAATTCAAAAGTTATTTTCCATGACACCATCATTCATTCATAACTGTTAAATGAGTGGTCTCAAACGTGTAAGAATTAGGATAATCTTTGTAAATAGAATAAGGGTATCGCCACTCTCCGTTACCATGGTTTCGACAAATCTTGCTTCTTTTTCCTTACGGCAGTACCTTTAAGTTAGAAGTTGAACTTAACTGTCGTATGGAAAAAGCAAAATTTCCCGAAACTATGGTAAGGGTAAAAGTGTGGGGAAAATCATGTTTACAAAGAGCGTAAATTCATAAAACGTGGTTTGAGAATTGTAATAAATTTCGTACAACACTCGAGTTTCTCTCAAACTTTTATTCCGTGTCAAAATCATGTTAACTGTATCAAGATGTACTTTTCTGCAAACTTAAAGACGCTACAGCAGCAAAATTTCTTCAATTCTTTTTTAGTTGTTTCTTTGTACTAGAATTGATTTCTTATCAAGAAATCTTTAGAATAGCACAACAATTATGTTGATCTATTCAAGATACTTTGAATGCAAGAAAATAATTCTTTTTCTTGGAATAACATATTAAAATTTTAGATTCACTCCAATTCGTATTCTTTAAAAGGTGCCTCAAGTCTCGGCTCTTAGTCCATCACAGGTTGTTGCCCGAACTCTCTAACTACGTTATATATAGAGCCTCTAAAAACTACTGAACTAATAGAAGATATGACTGCTTCATACAAATTGCTATTTTACTCACCATTATTTTGTACGTGATATAATTGTAAAAATTGAAGTTGTATGATTTTATCAAACTATATTTTGTAAATAAAATGTACAGAAATTGTTGTATAAATGTGTTATAATATTATGGATTCACAAGTTAAAACTTATTTTTCATGGGAACATTGAAAAATATGACTTGGAAGTCAAAAATAAACTTTTTTGAAATTTCAATGAACATTATGGGCTTGAGATGATATAATGTTAATAGTCTATTGAAAATCTTTTTCTTTAATTATTAAACTTATTATCCTTGATATCTTGAATAGTTTCAAAGAGCAAAATCATTAAATTTTTTTGAAGAATCCGTTTGTAAAAAGCATAAATCGAAAAATATCAGAGAGAGGCGATCAACTTTTTAAATTACACTATCTGGTTAAAAGTATCCGGATATCCAGTTGTTGTCCTGATTAAAAGGATGTTTGTCTATATTTCTGCATCGGCCTTCTGTGGAAGACCAGTTTTTGACTTCCATAACAGCTGTGCTTGCAGTGGCTACGTAATCTCTGCTCTAATTGGGGCTCTGAGAAGGCCTTTTTGGAACACCCATTTCGTCAAACCACGTTCTCGATGTGTGTGAATGGAGCGTGCTGGAGGAGAAATAGTGTCACAGCATACATATCAGAATTCATGTTTCCAACCACCCTAACAACTGGGTATTTGGATGTTTTGGGGGCAGATAGTGTATAGCCTACTTAACAGTATGGGTAAGATGAGCCCGCAATTCATCATCAGCTGTGAGGAAAATTCCAAAAAACGCTCCCAGTCTAATCAAGCTTCTACTTCCCACCTTTTTTTTTAAGGGCTCTCAAATAATATTTTATCATCAAAAGTTAGTAAAGCACAAAAAGAGGATGAGTTATTGCAAAAGAAATCTCCATTGGTATTTTTAAAGTTCAGAGAAAATCGAATTCAGGCAAACCATGGAGAAGAAAATAAGATAACTTTCCAGTTACTTTAAAAAACATTTGAAAAAAAACTTTATGATTTACTCTAGGCTTACCTGAACTCTCTCTCTCTACTTTAAATTACTTATATGGGTGAAAGAGAATTTGCCATTCTCCTCCAGTTCAGCGCCCTCTAAAGTATGATGTGTTCGTGTTTCGGATGTATATAAGTAGTTTCAGCCACACTTTTATGTTTTAAGAACCATTTATTAATCCAAAAAAGTCATACAGGTATAATAAAAACATAAATTGCTAAGATCATATGTAAATGAAGTATTGCAAAAAGGCCCATAGAAGAAGAAAATAGCGAGTGACAACTTTGGAAAAAAATATATATATATTCTATATATATATTCTAGATACTTAATACGTTTCAAAATTGTCAAGAAATGAATATTTCTAGAGCAAACAGAACTACAAATAACTATACAATACCTTACTATCATATCATATTGAATGAAGATGAATAAAGTTGCAGAGAGTTGGAAAGATTCAGAAGGAAATTTTAGGTCCAAACTAATGACAGAAAATAAGGTTAGGTCTGAGAAAGAAAATGAGGGGAAGCCTACTTCTAGTTTGGAATATCTACAAACTGTTTCAGGAACTACTAAACAATGCATCCACGCGTAAAAAGAATGAGCACATCTTTTCTTAAGAAACCTGTATTTGTTTAATGTTACATAAGTTACTTTTTGGATGAGGGTCATCTTTAACCACTACCCATAAATGAATTACAATAGTTAAGTACACCTTCGCTTACATGAATTGACCTCCAATGAAATTCGAAACTGTATAAATAAAAACAATCCATAAAAAAATACACTCCATAATTTTTCTTTAGTCATTCAACTTAAGCATTTATTCAAAAATACAAATCATAAAATAAATAAATATAAAATAAAAAAAACTTCAGATCTTTGCACAAACCAGTTTTAAAAGAACATAAAATAAATGCAACCATGACACTTGAGAAAATATATGAAGAAAAAAAAAGTTATAAATATAACATACTATCAAATAACACTGTCATAATACATAAAATATTTTTTTTTAAAATTATAATTATATAAAATGCAAATTGGTACAATAGTCTTTGATTTTGGCACAAAAAGTATAATATAAAAATATAATTACAAAATTCGATACGTAAATTTTCTAATAAAATTTATAGATAGAATGCTTTTAAGGTGTGTATACATATCATTAGTCTTTCAGAAAAATGAATGAGTCATATTAGTACAAATGATAAAAATAGTTATATTTTTTTGTGTGTAATTCATCTAACGCTGAAAATAGTCATGCCTAGTTAGAAATTTTGACATTGTACCATTTTAGCTACACATTGTCTACACAACACAAAATATGAGATTGGCGAAAGGGCTTTTCATACTTAAATATATTATTTTCGAAACATTGCAGTGAAACACATTTTTAAAAATTTTAATTTGATTTTAAAAATTAAATTTTAATTTAATTTGCAGTGAAACACATTTTAAATTTTTTATCTAAAAATGTCACATTTTACATCACACACCTGTTTTAGTTTAAAAATCTTCTGCGCGATTAAAATACCATATTTATTGTTTAAAAAAATTGGGGTTTTTTTTTGGCATTTAAGATAATGAAACTGATTCAATTTTAACACGTTTAGATTAAAGTGTGATGCCCGGTAACTGAGTGGTAGCGCTTCCCGCTCACCTGCCACAGGTCCTGGGTGCGATCCTCGGGCTGGGTAAGGTTGACTCAGCCTTTCGTCCCTTCAGTGGGTCGATAAATGAGTACCGAGTAAGCTTGGGAACAAAACACTGGGGGTTCCGCGTTCGTCTGACTACCTGACCAGAACATCTGCACCCCAGAGCCCAAGGTCAAGAAAACTGAGATGGGCACAGTAGGTCCTTAGAGTTTTAGATTAGTGTTTCAAAAGCAGCAGGAAACCACACCGATATTCTTAGCATTTCCTTTTGCAAAAAAGAGTTACACAGAACGAACAGGAACTAGGATGATTGAATTTTAAAGCATTATTTAATAGAAGAGATATTTAACACTCTGTCAAGCAATTTTTCTTCTTGTTTTAGGAACAATTACTTTAAGTCCTCAGTCTGAGCCTACAAGCTTTCTTGCATGAAAAAACCTGTTTTCCCCAATGGGGGAAAATAGCAGAGAAATTTCATTCCAAATGAGCTCAATCCACAGAGAGTTAACTGATAATATATACTTCCACAAATCTCTTGACAGTTTATCACTATTTTATCAATACACACAATGATTGCTTTTGTAAATGACACACTCAAAATATGAAGCTATATACAGGGTGAAAAAAATAATGATTGTGCTACTAAACAGGTCAAAACATGTTTTGGAAATCTTAGTTGAAAACAAAGACAAAAATGAAACAGTCACACAATCAAATGTATGAGAAGAAAAATACCCTTGAAACTGTATTCATTTGATCACTAGAGGAATCACACTTCATACAGCAATTCAACTGGTTTTATTCCTCATTTAAAATACTATACATTATTTTTGACAATGATTCTAAAACTAAGGGTTGTTATAACAGAGTTCCCTGTATGCAATGAAACCTCTCATTAAGGACATTTTCTATGAAAAAGAAACCACACTCTTCGCACAGTCATTTATGCCCGAAAACAGTATTTTCTAACCAGGCACATCTTTTTCTAAATTTGAAGGGTATCGCTGCTCTATATATTTTAGATTTTCAAATTCATAAATTTTTCACCACTAACGAAGTTACTATTTTCTCTGACATAAACACAATAAATTTAAAAAGCATTATACTAATAACATTCATTGAAATGATAGGCATACCAAAACTGCATCTTCATATTTATAGGTTTTAAATTTATAAAACAGAATCAAGAAAGAGTTGAAGCAATAAAACAGCGGAAAAAAATACAAAAGCAAAAAAAAAAAAAAAAATTCTTTCTTTTTTTCTGCAGAATTATATTCTAAAGACACTTTTCTCGTTCATCGGAAAGGAAAGAAATACTCCCAATTTTTCTGTTCTCATCCCAGAATAAAAAAATTCGCCAATGACTGACTTGCTTCAGCAAGAATTTTAAATTGATAAAATAAATAATAATAAAAATTCTGAAATCGTAGAAGTTGAAAAGACATTTAAAAAATGATATTTTTTCTTTCATTTTTGAAAGAACACCATCATTTTTAAGAAACATGATAAAAATATCATTTTATATTTTAACAAAATATGACTGTGAGTGGGGATTTTGTTACAAATTCAGATATTCAGAACACTGTGAAATTAGTGGGGGGGGTAGGAAATTCCATTTTAAAAATCAGATTTTTGGCGACCTAAATCCATGACTTTTTTTAAAAAAACAGTTAAAAATCATGACACATTTTGTTCAGTACCAAAATTCATAACTTTCCAGGTGCCCAGATACCCTAAATATTATTTCACTTTAAAAAAAAAAAAAAGAAATGCATGGATCATCCATTTTTTAAAGCATGTAAATTTTTTTTCCTTATCCATCATTCAAATGATTGTTTATCTATTTCCGTACTAAAGAATCATTTATCTTTTCCAAGAAAGAAGATAAAATAATATCTTTTCATGGAGAGTTGAATCATGAGACCCCCTCAAGTTGAAATCATCCTTTTTATTTCTAATCAGTATTCAACACAGCTGAATTAAAAGAATTCATATAAATCAAATAATACTTACTTTCAATGAGGTGTATTCGCCAATGTTTCCTATCAAGCAATGGGGAAGGAATAGAAGCATCCATTCAAATATCTATGAACATAATTAGGAAATATATATTTCAATTTCTCTGTAGCTATGTCTGAAATTATTTTGAAAGAGTACTCGAGATCCTTATTCTTGAGGAAATCTCTTTTTGTTTAAATAATGCCTGTTTAATAATTTGTTTAAATAATCACTTTGAAAGAAAATACTGAGGCATATCCCAAATACCAAAAAAGCAGTGTCTGAAAATGGGCCTAACATTTTAAGATTGGCTGCAGATATCATTAAAAACAGAGGAGAAACGAATGAAACTGGGGTGTTAAAAGGGAAACGAGAACCCAATTCGAATATCTATCAATACCCATGTTACAGATTCAGCTGAGAAACTGGGGCTAATAAATGGTTAAAAAAGTTCCCAAAGCATTCTGTCAGATAAGGATGACAAGAAAAATTCTTCTTCTAAATACCATCTCACCCAGATGTTCATCAAAAAATTGCATTCTTTCCTTCAAACCTCTTTCAATAGACGTTATTAAAAACTTCAAAGTGCTATATAGGCAACTCATTTTCAAGCACTCGATGAGAAGCTTAAAGCTTAGACAAGGCCTCGACCTAAAAATGGACGCCCTATACACTTTTTTGTGGATAATTGCCATCTGAAAGTTTAAAAAAATTAAGAAGCTAAACCATTTTACTGAGGCAGTTTTAAAAAGAGAATACACCAAAAAGCAGATGACATGAATTCTGAATCTTTTGAGTTCACAAATCCGATTCGCTCGAAAATGTATGGACGAGAATGTTGAAAGTCAGAAGAATAATTTTAAATACGGACAAAATAGTTGCAAATGACATCGGATACTCGATGGATGCTTTCTGAGAACTTTAAGTGATGCTCAAACTTGTATTGAGGAACTGATATCCATCCAAAAATGATGAGATTGATGAAAAAAATTCTTTAAAAATGTACCATGAAGATATGGTTTAATCTGCTTAAAGTATGCTTCGATCACATCTTTCTTTTTAACAGGATAAATATAAAACAAAGGCAAATATCAAATTTCTTCATACATTTTTTGCTGTAAACATTATAATTTCGTTAAGTTGAAATAAATATCATTGTAAATAGTTATTATAGATTATTTCGATAACTTTGCAATTATTATAAACACAATTTATGGCCTTCGTGTACCCTTCCCCTAAATGGACAACTATCGCAAACATTCGGTTCCCGAGAGTGTCCGCTTAATGGAGATTTCACTGCATATATACATATACTCCATAACTCTACATCTAGAGTTTACAAAAAATATATTTAATAGAGAAGTTTTTGTTTTTAAATGATTATTTTTACAACGATTTTCACTGTGCTTTTATATTCAACAAGAATTTGAAAATTGGGTATAAAGAAAACTATAATGGAGTGCACTGCTCAAAGATAAAATGGCAACAATTTGGATCAGTTGAATTTTAATCCACTACCATCAACAATGAAATTTAATACTGCTTCAACATTTATATAGTATAATGAAAAAGTACAAGTAGTATTAAGTAGGAATTTGGCACATTATAATTAGCACTCATTCATTTGTGCAAAAGAGGAAAATGCAATGGATTCCAACAATAATATTCCAATGCATTCCATAAAATATGTTAAAACCTCATTATTTTACATAGACAAGAAAAATTTTAAATGAATAACTAGTTTTGTTTTTAGTTTTTTATGAAATCACCAACGAAAATTTTTGTAATCCAAAATCATATTGTAAACTCAGTTTGCTTAAAATAAAATGTATTGAAGCAAAGGGCAGTTTTATGCATATTTTGCAATACGTATTTATTAATTTAGTATGAGGGAACTTTTTGAAACTGTTTCAATGATTTACTATCTATTACTAAAGCTAACACGCAACACATGAAATTTTTTATAAAACAATACAGAATTAATTACAGTTTTTAGTAACTAAGGAATACTAAAATAAAAAAAGTCATAGCAAATAATTAGGATTATTATGTAATTAACAATAGAAATTCAACATTGTTTAAATAAGATCGACACAAAAAATTCTAAAAATAGTTATTGATGTATTAGAATGCAAATTAATACTTAAAACATAAGAATTTTTTAACTGCATATATTTGATACTGTATGCGTATGGCGATGTTGTGAATATCTCGCCAATTGTGAGGCCCCGTGCCACACGTGTCTCTCGCCAATTGTTTTGTTTTTGCATGTGTGCTTATTTCTTTGTTGTTGTCTATCTCTCGGATCTCGAGATGTGTGGGTTAGCATTCTTGTGATAATGCAAAACATAAAGTGAAGCTACAGTCCAAGAGTTGCGTCTGAACTTTAAGGGGACACTTCACGATGAAAAACCCAAAAATCGACCAAATTATACTTTTTTCAATTTTTGTTTCAAAAAATAATAGTTATATCTAGCCACAATTTAAAAGAAAAATTTTTCAATTTCAGTCATTTTTTGCAAAGTTATAAGCATTTCAAGATTTGTAAACAAGGTTATGTAAACTGTCTGTTTTTATAGTTAAACTGTTTTTTCTCAATGTTGTTTTTTTACGATAATATTCAAACTTCGAAAAGTTCCTTGCGCATGAGTTTTGAATAAATCTTTATTTTTTTCTCATATATATGATTGGTCTAATGTTCCCTAACCAATGTGATATAAATAAAAGCTGAATACTCACTGAATATTTTTTAAATTACTTTAAATTGTTATTTAAATTTCAATTTTTAAAAATTATATAAAGACTATGATATTTTGATTTTTTATTTGTTTAAAATTAAGTGCTAAGTTGTTCAAACATATCCAATTTTATTTATACTTATTCAAACTGTAATATAAATGAGTTTCATACAGCTACGATAAAAACTCATGCGCAGGAAACATTTTGAAATATTGGAACATTTAGTAATTTAACTTGCGGATAAATTATTAAAAAAATTATAACTTTTCAACAAATTAATATTTTTGCTTCAAATTTTGGGAATATCTTTCTAAATGCTTTATTCACAATCTATGAAATTTTCATTAAAATTGGTTGATATTTAAAAAAAATCATTTTGAACCTGAAGTGTCCCCTTAAG